CCAAAGTCCCCAAAACCCCTCCAAACCACCCCAAAACCCACCTCCAACCCCCCAAACCCTCCCAAACCCCCCCAAAACCCACTCCCCGGGGGGTCGCTGGGTCCCTGCCATGCTGGGGCCATGTCGTCCTCCCCTCCTCCCCCCGAGTGCCAGGCGGAGGTGACCCCCTCCCCGGGTGGGGGTTCGGGTTCCTTCAGCTACAGCCTGGAGGAGGAGCACCCCAAGGCCGCCTTGGCCATCATGAACCAACTCCGCTTGGAACGTCAACTCTGCGACGTCACCCTCCGCGTCCGTTACCGTCGGGATGTCCCCCCCAGGGACTTCCCGGCCCATAAAGTGGTTTTGGCGGCCACCAGCCCCGTCTTCAAGGCCATGTTCACCGCCGGCTTGAAGGAAGGAGGGATGGAGGTGGTCCCCATCGAAGGGGTGCACCCCAAAGTGATGGAGCGCCTCTTGGAGTTCGCCTACACGGCTTCCATCGCCGTCGGGGAGAGGTGCGTCCTCCCCGTCATGAACGGGGCCGTCATGTACCAGATGGACAGCGTGGTCCGCGCCTGCTCCCACTTCTTGGTCCAGCAGCTCCATCCTTCCAACGCCATCGGCATCGCCCACTTCGCCGAGGAGATCGGCTGCTTGGAGCTCCAGCAGAAAGCCCGGGAGTACATCTACATGCACTTCGCCGAGGTGAGATGTTGTTGGGGGGAGACATGTGGACCCCCCGGGGGTCGTTGGTCTTGAGGAACATCCCTCCAAGGGGATGGGGGTCCTCAAAGGGGATGAGGGTCTTGGAGCTCCAGTAGAAGTTGTAGGAGAACATCTACATGCACTTCGCCGAGGTGAAATATGGCAGGGAGGGGGTTTGGGGGCAACAGGGAGACCCCTCTGGGGGTTGTTGGTCTTGAGGAACCTCCCTCCAAGGGGATGGAGGTCCTGGAGGTCTAGCAGAAGGTGTAGGAGAACATCTACATGCACTTCGCTGAGGTGAGGGGGGGCTTTGGAGGGGACACGTGGACACCTCAGGGGTCGTTGGTCTTGAGGAACCTTCCTCCAAGGGGATGGGGGTCCTCAAAGGGGATGGAGGTCATGGAGCTCCAGTAGAAGTTGTAGGAGAACATCTACATGCACTTCGCCGAGGTGAGGGGGGGCTTTGGAGGGGACACATGGACCCCCTGGGGGTTGTTGGTCTTGAGGAACCTTCCTCCAAGAGGATGGAGGTCCTGGAGGTCTAGCAGAAGGTGTAGGAGAACATCTATGTGCTCTTCATGGAGGTGAAGAGGGGCTTTGGGAGGGACATGGGGACCACCCAGGGGTCGTTGGTCTTGAGGAACCTTCCTCCAAGAGGATGGAGGTCCTGGAGGTCTAGCAGAAGGTGTAGGAGAACATCTATGTGCTCTTCATGGAGGTGAAGAGGGGCTTTGGGAGGGACATGGGGACCACCCAGGGGTCGTTGGTCTTGAGGAACCTTCCTCCAAGAGGATGGAGGTCCTGGAGGTCTAGCAGAAGGTGTAGGAGAACATCTATGTGCTCTTCATGGAGGTGAAGAGGGGCTTTGGGAGGGACATGGGGACCACCCAGGGGTCGTTGGTCTTGAGGAACCTTCCTCCAAGAGGATGGAGGTCCTGGAGGTCTAGCAGAAGGTGTAGGAGAACATCTATGTGCTCTTCATGGAGGTGAAGAGGGGCTTTGGGAGGGACATGGGGACCACCCAGGGGTCGTTGGTCTTGAGGAACCTTCCTCCAAGAGGATGGAGGTCCTGGAGGTCTAGCAGAAGGTGTAGGAGAACATCTATGTGCTCTTCATGGAGGTGAAGAGGGGCTTTGGGAGGGACATGGGGACCACCCAGGGGTCGTTGGTCTTGAGGAACCTTCCTCAAAGGGGATGGAGTTCATGTAGCACCAGGAGAAGGTGTAGGAGAACATCTATGTGCTCTTCATGGAGGTGAAGAGGGGCTTTGGGAGGGACATGGGGACCACCCAGGGGTCGTTGGTCTTGAGGAACCTTCCTCAAAGGGGATGGAGTTCATGTAGCACCAGGAGAAGGTGTAGGAGAACATCTATGTGCTCTTCATGGAGGTGAAGAGGGGCTTTGGGAGGGACATGGGGACCACCCAGGGGTCGTTGGTCTTGAGGAACCTTCCTCAAAGGGGATGGAGTTCATGTAGCACCAGGAGAAGGTGTAGGAGAACATCTACGTGCTCTTCATGGGGGGTTTGAGAGGGACACATGGACCCCCAGGGGCTGTTCGTCTTGAGGAACCTTCCTCCAAGGGGATGGAGGTTATAGAGCAGCAGCAGAAGGTGTAGGAGAACATCTACATGCACTTCGCCAACGTTAGTGGGGGCTTTGGAGGGGACATGGAGACCCCCCATGGGCTGTTGGTCTTGAGGAACCTTCCTCCAAGGGGATGAAGGTCATGGAGCTCTAGCAGAAGGTGAGGGAGAACATCTACATGCACTTCGCCGAGGTGAGATGTTGTTGGGGGGAGACATGTGGACCCCCCGGGGGTCGTTGGTCTTGAGGAACATCCCTCCAAGGGGATGGGGGTCCTCAAAGGGGATGAGGGTTTTGGAGCTCCAGTAGAAGTTGTAGGAGAACATCTACATGCACTTCGCCGAGGTGAGGGGGGGGCTTTGGAGGGGACACGTGGACACCTCAGGGGTCGTTGGTCTTGAGGAACCTTCCTCAAAGGGGTTGGGGGTCCTAAAGATGAAGCTGAAGGTGAGGGAGAACATCTATGTGCTCTTCATGGAGGGTTTGGGGGTCCTGGGGAGGAGACCCTCAAGGGATGGGGGTCCTGGAGCTCCAGCAGAAAGCCTAGGAGAACATCTACATGCTCTTCATGGAGGGTTTGAGGGGGACACGTGGACCCCCAGGGGTCGTTGGTCTTGAGGAACCTTCCTCAAAGGGGATGGAGGTCATGTAGCACCAGGAGAAGGTGTAGGAGAACATCTATGTGTTCCTCATGGAGGTGAGAGGGGCTTTGGGAGGGACACATGGACCCCCAGGAGTTGTTGGTCTTGAGGAACCTCCATCCAAGGGGATGGGGGTCCTGGGGAGGAGACCCTCAAAGGGATGGGGGTCCTGGAGCTCCAGCAGAAGGTGTAGGAGAACATCTATGTGTTCCTCATGGAGGTGAGAAGGGTTTTGGGAGGGACATGGGGACCACCCAGGGGCTGTTGGTCTTGAGGAACATCCCTCCAAGGGGAAAAGGAAAGAAAAAGGTTAAAAAAGGGGAAAAAAGGAGAAAAGATTGAAAAAGGGGAGAAAAAAGGTGAAAAAGGGGGAAAAAAGGTTAAAAAGGGGGGAAAAGAGGAAAAAAAAAGGTGGTAAAAGGAAAAAAAAAGGTTAAAAAAGGGGGGAAAAAGGAAAAAAAAGGTTAAAAAGGGGAGGGAAGTTTAAAAAAGGTTGGAAAAGGGGGGAAAAGGAAAAAAAAGGTTATAAAAGGGGGAAAAAAGGTTAAAAAGGGGGAAAAAGGAAAAAAAGGTTAAAAGGGGGAAAAAAGGAAAAAAAGGTTGAAAAGGGGGGAAAAGAGGAAAAAAAGGTGGGAAAAGGGGAGAAAAATGAAAAAAGGTTGAAAAAGGGGGAAAAAAAGGTTGAAAAAGAGGAAAAAAAGGTTGAAAAAGTGGGAAAAGAGGGAAAAAAAAGGGGGGGAAGTTAAAAAAGGGGGGAAAAGTT